TAAGAATATATATTTATTGCATGCTTCTGAAATTTTAAGCAACATCAGTATGTTCATAGAATCAGCAAAACTCTGAAAGGAGTGCAGGTATAAGTGGCCAAAAAAATTACAGCTTCATTTGTGCAAAGGTGATTTCTTTTCTGTTTAGATGAAATACTAAGAATGTCAATATATTTCCCCTTTTGTTTGTATTTGTTTCTATTTGCCTCATCCTACACATATTCCCCCATATGTGCTGTCTAATGTTGCTGGATATAGGGCCATTGCTGCATAATCACCAAATAAACCATATCTATGCATACCCACCTAAAAGAATAGTTGTACCACTTTATTCTATTTTTTTATATATACTACCATATTATGCATTGCTTTATACTCAAACATACCAATTTTATATCCACAAAGATGTAAATTAAGAACAAATTATACTAACAAACCTGACCATGTAAAATCAAACTTGATTTACAGTTACCTTCTTTAAATTAGAAGGTACAAGTGGGTGTCTTCTATCATGTCCATGGAGGTATCCTCATCTGTGAAATCAATTCTTCCGAAAATACCTAATTACCTAAAGAACAAAAAATAAAAAAATTGTAAAAACCCAAACACCTTTTAGGTTCGATCCAAATTACCGGACGAATACGATATAAAAAGCAAAACCTTATTCAAAGAAGAACGTAAACTAAGAAAATCCCTCAATCCTATCCCCCCTGAAATGGTTTACTGAATAAAACCCCTCAATCCTATCCCCCCCTCAAATAGTGTACTCAATGTTGCTAACTTATTTACCTTTTTCAGCGTTATGGACCTGTTCAGCGCTTGTACTATTCAAAGTGCCACGGCCAATCCAGGTGGTACCACCATGACCTACTTTCTGCACACTGTGCACGGCAGGAAGATTGCTCTTGCTGTTCTAACTCAAGCCTCCACCAGCACTACCACCTGTCAAGCAACCATAGAGTGGCAGCACTTCTTGACTGCGTCGGGCTTCGACAGAATACTACCCACACGGTTTAGAAACAAGGCTGAACTCGATCACAAGATTAACCACTTTTTGAGACGTGGTCTAATCTTACCCCCGCCTGGAGGTGCCTTCCCTATCCCTGCTTTTACTCCATCTGCGCACCAAAACTTTTAATTCCTTTCCCATTACGCAAATACAAGTACTTCAAATCCTTTCATACTTCTTGTTCATTCTTTGTAGCGTGTCCACTGACTACCACAATCCATTACCCCGATGTCTTGCAATTCTCCATGGTGTGGTGTATACTCAACATCCAGTACTTTGACGACGCGGTAAATTCAGGACACATACATTTTTTTTATGTTTTCATAAGTGCTACATTTACGCTGCAGCACTGACTTGTTTTGGTTTTGACTTTTGCTTTAGCGCATACCTCCTTGCATGCACCGCCATTTATTCGAGCACACCAAACCACATCTTGTGCTCAGGTATGGATCTGGTTCTTGGACACTACCTGTTGAAGACTACACTCTGAAAATCGACTTTGCTGATTTCCTTGTTGAGCATGAACTTCCCTTCGAGAGCCACGTTCTGCTCCGCCACATCGGCAATTTCACCTTTGACGTACCAACATTTGACACAGAAGGCTTCTCCCAAAACCTAGGTACACCGCCCGATGCCATCTTCGACTCTATGCTTCCTGGAGGTATACTTCCTGCCCATTCATGACACCTTTGCACGTACCAAATTCTTTTAACATCACACCTTTACAAAACGTTTATGATTCTTTCTATCTTACTTACAATACAGATCACTTCTTTGTATACGTGCAATCTGCCATTGCAAACCGGTCGTACAGGAAATTGTTTTGCACCCCATCATTTATTTATATACCAACAAAAACTGGTTCGGTACGGTCTCTTTTCCCCAGATTATCATTTCAAATTATCTTCTATAGATGACCTCTTTGTCGATCCTTTGAAAACATCCAACCGAACTGTCTTTAAGAGATCCTTATTTTTGCCTGCGGTCAACTTGTGAAGCATTTCTAAATACATGTTGTGATCAAAGAGGACGGGTTCTGATCTTGCATGGCACAGACGAGGACCACTTTCTGGGCGGCGAAAATAATCTCATGCAAGAGATTGAGTCTACTTTCCACATTGACCCGACCTCCACCCTAGCATTTTTTAGAAATGGACGTGGCAGGGTTAGCCTCCTTACAATTTCAGTGTGCGGTGTTGAGGAACCACCTCGCCACAACCACACATACGAAATCGGAAGCCATGAGTGCACTCAACAAGATAGTCACGCTTGAATATTCTCCAATATTCACATGGAATTAATCTACTCCTTTTTTGACTATTATGTTTTGCTTCTCCGAGATCTTATTAAAACAATGTTGTTACACTATCTCTTCCAATTACCTAACCATTTGGTTTGCTAACTTGCAAATGCTGAACTCCTACTTTATGGTCATGAACAGTGCAAAACTATTGTTTCTTTTACTCTTACTATACAATTTTTTTAATTCCTTTCCTGTATCCATTTTCCCTTCTCGGGTATACACCCTCGCGCAATACGTTGAAAATGTGGCAAGGTGCCAAACACGCGTAAAGCACAATTATTGCCTTTAAGTAGACTTGCAATATTGACAAACAATCTTCTGAAGCACAATTTTTGGCAAAATCACATCTTATATTGTGGGCCGACGCATCTATGCCTTCTGTTTTCACATTAAAATCTTTGTTCAAATTATCAAACGCTTTCTTTGGCAAAGTGGTCGCATAGACATACGTTTTAAGGACCACGATTATTGTTTGATCAAGTCACAATTGGCGCATAACACTTAGAATGCAAAATCAATACCCCTATAATTAAATTACTTTAAACACGCACTTGTATGCTGCCTCACATAACACTACAAGTACAATTTTTTTTTTTAGAAAAACACATAAACACTCAAATTTGTCAAACAATTCAAAAATGTCAAAAAATACACAAGATTAAGGCTTACCTTAGTTCATTTGTTATTGGACAAATAGACGGTGCCGCCCAAAGGGAGTTTATTCGCTTGTACCAACCGCCAACATCTTTCTGCCCTTCCCCGATGCTGCACTTCCCCTCTTTGCATGTTTTCCGTCGCCGTTCGGAGCCAACTCATCACCCCCGCTTTTCTCTTGTGAAGGCTGCATTCTTTCTGTTCAACCATTTTCAAGTAAGCTTTCCTAACAATACATTGCTATGTCATCAATTTCCTACATTGTTTTTGTATTTTCTTTAATGCCCCACACCCCTCGTTTCCAACTCCATTTCGTCTGTGTTTTCATGTCATTTCTCTCACAAGAGAGTTCTGCTCTTCCCGTAAGGCTTTGAACCTACCTATGTTTCCCTGACTGGAATGTTTGTTGAAAGTGTTTCCCAAAATCTTCAAAGCCTTTCTCTATTTCAGAGAAACGTTGGTGTATCCGTCAGTTGTTTGGTGAACTCGAATTTGTTGCTAACCACCCTTACTCAACATAAGATAACAACCACTTCTTGTGTGATTAATGTTGATGATTCATGCCCACCAAATCCAGGTAGAACAGTTTGACAAGTACATTTAGAACCCATGCTTTGCAACAAACATGTCTCAACATAGTGCGACCAAAAATCACGAGTACTGAAAAAAACCAGGTCTCTCTCTGTCCAGCCATTCTACGCAAAAAAAATGGTCAAGAATATGCTTGTATTGTGTCTCTTACACTCCTTAAATTCATTTCTAACTCATACGCTGTATGCATCTTTTGCTTATTCCCGTTTGTTCATTACGCACAAGTTTAATGGATTTGTTTACCAAATGTTACGTTCAAGCAGCAGACCTTCGTTGTGGCAAACAGATTCTGACATACTTTGTTGGCACGATGCACGGAAGAAAGCTTCAAATTGCAGTTATTACCCGGAACAATGCAAAAGAGCATGGCTGTCAAACATGCCAAGATTGCAAACAATCCTTGCGCCCTTCAGGCTATTACAGGTCCCTCCCACCCAACTTCAGAAACAAAACAGAACTTGAGCACAAGCTAACTCATTTTGTCACCCGTAGTCCAGCTATGCCTGTCACCAAGCATATACCAACAATTGTATTGCCCTTCCTCCTTTCTATATGTGCCCAATCAAACTACAAAGGTATGTACTGTTTCCGCCCACTGTATTATCATTGTATCCTGCAAAAACTTAATGACCTCATTTTCCTCCCTTTTATTTTACATCTAAATCACCATATTACCAATTTAGCACAATATTATGGGATTGTTACATTATATGCATTGTGCCAATAGTTGCTCTGTGTTTTAGAACGTTCTCCCGCCGAGATCAATCACATTCGTACTGCATGTATGTTCAAATCCCAAATGAAAATAATAAACTCTCATAGTGGTTTGCTGCAGAATGCATTTTCATATTTGTTCCAAATAGTTTCCTGCACCTAATGCCCTCAACTTGTATTTTTAGCCCTATCTCAAAACAGTCTGCTACAAGTTGCGTTCTCAAAATAGTTGATCTATTTTACAAAACCTATTACCATAACATCTCTATATTTGACCATATTCTTTCCCATGCTCAATACATTACATTTCTGTTTTTTGCTGCAGAATGGTTGTGATGCTTTGTTTTACGATATCCCCTTCGTACACTAATCACATACATTGTTGTGCACCACAAATTTACTATCATTTTCAACCATCACTAGTGCAAAATATACATTCTATATCTAAGTTTTAATATGGGTTCACTTTGAACTGTTATTATATGTAGGCGCGAGGTCATTTTTAAAAATAACGAAAGTTCAAATAAGTTTAATGGGTCAATATTATAAATATATATTATTATTTGTAACGGTTATAATAAGAACCGACATAGTAAATTAACACGGGGTCATGTATATAATTTCTGGAAACTTAAAACGGGGCTTGTTTTATAATATTTAAAATGCTTTTTAATGTCAGTTCAGTTTTAACCCTTACCAAATTAGACGCTAGGGATGAAATATCGGATGCAATATCGGATCTGTTTGTCTAACCATTCGTCTCCTATGGTCTGATGCTCGACGATTAAGATGAAGAGGACGCGGCAGCAGGCTGACTACTTGGACGCCGCCGCCGCCGCCACTCCCATCCGTTTGCCTAAGCGCCGTTGCTGCTTCTGACGATTTCGTCGAAGAGGACGTCGCTGCAGACCGACGATTTGGACGAAGACGACACCCCTGCTGCTTTCGGCGACTTCAACGAATACTCTGCCGCAGCAGACTGACGACATGAACGAAGACGATGCCCTTGCTGCCACCAATGACTTCGACGAAGACGCAGCAGCAACAGAACGACGACTTGGACGAAGACGATGCCCCTGCTGCTCCAGGTGACTTCGACGACATTCAGTTATCTTCCTGGTATATTCTCAACTTTCTCTTCAATGGCTATGTCCTTCTCAGTTCCGAGATTCCTTTTTTGCTAATTTATAAACTCAGAATGATTATTTCAAATAATTACATACATTCATTTCTATGTTCAACTCCTAGGGTTTTTGGAACGAGTAAAATCGGATTAGGTATGTATTTATAGTGAATAAATACCTAATGTACGTATTAATATAGTTCATTTTAGGTTTGTTTTGTAGGTCTATTATACGGAGCAAGAATTAATTGTGGATATAGAAGAGATCAGTTTTTGCTCATCGTATGTGCTCACCGTAGTAAATAATAAACTGCTAGGTACTGTTGAGTTGGGAAGTAGTGTTGAAGATTTTCTGCATGCAACTGAGGTCAACGAAATGAAGAGTGTGAACACACCATTGGCCAGCACAGCAATATTGCCATCTCCAGTCTTGCTTTGGAGATTTAAGGTCTTCATTCCATCTTAGTTGCCTACTTGCCTCTCAAAATCAATGACCAGGATAGCTTTAAAATTATCTATTATCCATTCAAGTACAACATCTTGCTATAGCTCTTATAGAGGAGTTCATTGACCATGTTTTCTGGGTACATTATTTCAGTTTAAAGGGTGTCTGGATATAAAAATAACAAACTTAGTGTGGACTAAATGTGCAGGACAAATATGATATAGAATTATGTTTTGTAATTGGCTATATACCTGAAACACTGAATTGCCATTGAATTAGTATTTCATTTTCTCTGGAGAGGTATGCAGTATTTTGAATGACACTGGAATGCTGGATATCTTGTTCATTTTTTCATGCTATTTCTGTTGTTGCATGTAAGCATAGTAGTATATCATTCTGGTTATGGGTACTGTTCGTCTCAAATCTTATATAGTGTATTTGTAGAAGTATCTAACAAAGATAATATTTTCAGGTAGTTCTTTTTCTCATGTGGGGGTTCGCTTGTTGTAAGGTCGGTGTGAATTGTATTCTCATGGCTTGTTCACATAACCCATGCACTACACAATATGATAACATATTATTTTATGGCATTATTATTTTCTATAACTTCTTTAAGCTGATATCTGAGTACAATCAGCAGATTAGCTGGGATTCAGTTAGGAGAATGAGTGCAAACTTGAGGGATTTGTTTTTATATGAGGCTTTTCTGTATTACAATCATCTACTCCTTGTGGTAAGTTTGCTTTCAGTTTTCTCAAAGACCTTACAAGCTGTAATCTTTAATGCTTTCAGTGTGAGTGTGAACTTAAGATTGTTTCCTCAGTTTCCCTCTGTTTGATATTGCAGACTATGATGGTTTGGTTTTGGGGTGTGAACTTATAGGTCTTTATGCAGTCTAGTGTTAACTATGCTTAGATTTTTGACCTCGACCAGAATCATCTCACTCACAGAGAAATTTGGAGGGTAAATTATTTAATCTGTCTCAAGTGAACTGTGAATATCTACTCAAATCTGTACAGTGACTTGCTTGCCTTCACTTCATATTGCAGTGTGCTACTAGGATGACAATAATTGTCCCTACTAGCATGACCGCGTATCTATATCTTTATTCACATGGAAAAGTCTCTTTCTAGTTTAAAGTTCACAAACTTGTATTTTCATATCTTTTATGGTATTGATAAAAGTATCAAGTGTGTAATTTTAAAAAAACAAAAAAAGAACAGGGTGTCTAAGTCCCACACTCCCATCCACCTCTTCATATGCCATATGAGCCTTTTATGAACAAGGTGTGAATAAGAGCTACTTTACTTCCATTATTTGTCTACTTTGCTTCCATTATTTGTCTTCGTATCTCGTGAAATGGTTTCACAGTTTTTGTTAAGAGTTACCAGGGTCCATTAGTAAGTGTTTCTCTGATGTTTGGGTTTAGAGGAACTCTTTCTTGTCATTTAGTCCTTGATGGTTGAGTTTGTTGCAATTGATGACTGTCAAAGAAATTGGTCTGTGTGCCACATTTACATTTTCGTATTTACAGGATGATCATTTTTTTGCTGGCAAAAAAATCATGATTTGAAACTCATATTTGTTATTAAATATGTCAGACTTGGTACTCTTATTTGCCAGCACTTAAGTCATGGATGATAGCAGGAGTATTTCATTAATCTGAAGAGTATAATTGTGTTGGCAGGGAGGTACTGTGGATCTATTTGTTGTGAACACTTTCGGATCTGCTTTCCAGGTCGGATGTTTTGACTCTGTCCTTTTGCATGCTTATTACTCGCTTTCTCTCCCTGTCAATTTTCAACATAGAAGCCTGAACCACATTTTCTTGTGCATGCCAAACAGTTTTTATAAGCCTTCTCCTACCTTTTCTATCGAAGCTATGGTTGCATCCAATTTCTTCAATTGCCAGCATATATAAAAGATGGAGCAGTCTGCTTTTTGAACCTCGGAACCATACAAGGTAACTCATGATGACTTTTACATTATCGATTTTAATAATAACAGAGTTCTCTGTTACCTTGATTTTTTTATGATTATAAATTTGATAACATTGTCATTTAAAAAAGAACTGCTAAATCACTTATCTTACATGCTTTGGCTAATAGGATGTGATGGAGCACCAATGTTACCACTGCTGTTTGTCATTGTCAATATGGGTTTCAATATTTCATTATTACACTCATGATTTGAAACTCATATTTGCTGGCAAAAGTTTAGATTTAAGTGTTGAACTCTTTCTTTTAAACACCACATGACTAGATTTAATGATTTAAGCCTCCACTCAATATCTGTGTGTTTTCTCCATTGCCTTTTTTTATTTTAAGAAGTAACGAGAGAAGTGGTAGAATATGAAAATCTTCTAAGATAAACTATGATAATGAACGTGATAAGCTTTAGCTTTTGTTTGATTATTTTTCTCACATATACTTTTCATTTTATTGTTACTGTGTTATTGCTTTTGCTTCAGTTTTTGTACTTATTAGTTTACTTTCATTATTTAATAATTTGTAGGTTTTTAACGTTCAAGATTCATCACTGAGCAAGAAATCCATGAGGCACAGAAGCATTGGGCATCATTTTACTGCGATGCTACGAAGATTTGATATAAGTTTTATACCATATAATGTTAATTTAGTTGTATGTCTTGTGAACTCATAGCTAGTCTTTTGTTGAGCGTTGTGAACTCATTGTTAGTTTTGCTGAGTGATGTGAGCTCATAGATAGTTTTTTATGAATATTTTTGGATTTACTCAATATTGATGTAAATTGTGGATTATTGTCATTAGTTATGATTAATTAAATTTGTTTGTTGTTATATGATAAATGTTATTTTGATGATATATGTAAACAAGTGATATTTGGAAACAACATGGTATAAATTAGGTTTTATGTGAAGGAATACATTTCTTATGGGTTTATTTGATCCCATGTAAAACACATACCATAACAGTTATTATTTAGTCGATATCGAAAGTTTCAATAACGGTTCTACGTCACCCGTTATGGAATATCTTTCGTAACGGTTATATGAACCCTTATTAAATGTACCGGACTTTTAATATGTGCTGCTACAATAACGGTTTGGAATCGTTATTAAAATTCCGTTTTAACCGTTATTGACTAATGTGAATAATGATGGAATTAATCCTTAGAGATTGGATTGTGAATAGTGATGCCCTAAGTAGTCTCAAGAAATACTTTAAGGTTGAATTGTATGAGCTCTAAGATATATTATGAGTAGGCCTCAAAGGTTACTCGAGATGAGATAGACTAGGCATAGTAAATGCTTAGGGGTTAAATGGTGTGACTAGATGCGGTGCTCTAGCACGCATTAAGAGTGACTAGATGCGGTGCTCTAGCACGCATTAAGAGTGACTAGATGCGGTGCTCTAGCACAAGGTAGTGGTGATTAGAAGCAGGGCTCTAGCACAAGATGAGATGACTATATGCAGTGCTCTAGCATAATGTAGGATGACTAGATGTGATGCTCTAGCACGAAGTAATAATAATAAATGGGCGAGTCTCTATTTTAGTGAAATGGCATGTTAGGATAAAATCCTAGAACGGCGTAACAATTTACTAAAAGTTATGAAGATCGTGACTAAGGAGTCACGAGGGATTGGCATTGAACGTTTCAAAATGAATATGGGCCCACGGGCCGACTACTTGACTTTATATATAAAGAAAGTATATTGTTGAATAGGGTAACCGAGGGTTATGTCCTATAATATAATATCACCCTAGATTGAGGGAAATTGAAACATTGATTATGTACAGTGTAGTTGTCATTGTACTTTTCAAATGCTTCAAAGTACTGACCGCCCCTTCACGGGGGAGGCCACCTCACAGTTTCAAGTAGAAGTTGAAGCTTGCTACCAACACCCGTTGCTTCAGGAAGATCTAGGAGAGAAGACGTGGTTCGTGTTTCCTCCGTTTATGTTTTAGAAACAATTACAATAATGCTCATGGATATTATTTTTCTGAATAATTGTTTGGGGGCTTGTATGCCTAAGTTGCCAGGTGTGGCTTGAAAATTTGTATCAATGTTTCTGTTGCTTTAATGAATATTTTACATTATGTTTGTTGATGGATGTACTACGTGTGAATGATATTTCAGACGCCTTGTATAGTATGGATGTGTCGGACTGCAGTTGACTATCCGTACTGTACGACGGGTTATTGACGTATCCGGGTAGGTCCGGGGCATGACTGTAGATTTTAATAATTTTAGAGATGTGCTGCGATTGATTAGTCTTTGATGTATGTGATTGTTGTTACTACTTTGGTATTAAGGGGGATGTTAAGATGTGTAATAGCCAAATTAAAGTAGTTAAAGTGTGATATTTTTCACATACTATAAACATTTTTTGGCCATTCCCCTCTCTACTGTGCATTAGTTAAACCTTATTGAATGTTTGGGTCTGAAGAACCTGCTTTGCAGGGATATCTACTCTCCACATTCATTCTTTGCTCATAAGCTTGCAAAGAGCCTTGCAATCGTTCTAATTTATAGGTTTCAAGGTTCTTTGTCTCTTCAATTGCTACTACAACATGATCAAAATTAGGAGTCAAGGTTCTCAATACCTTTTCGACAATCGTCTGTTCAGTCATCTTCTCCTCAAAGTTTTTCATTGTGTTTTTCAAAGCAATTATCATGTTGATGAAATCCTGATCTGTCTCGCCATTCTCCATTTTCAGAAGTTCATATTGCCTTTCGCAATGTCTGCAACTTCACTTTAATTATTTAGTTGATATGATCCCTCATTGCATTTTCCCATAATTTCCTAAGCGTCATGAGAGGTTGGAGCAGATGTGGTCTTCTCAAAGTGTGTGTTATCACTAGTGGATGACAAACATGGCCTTGAAGTTCATCTTCTTGTTTTCTTTGTACGGATCCCTTTGCTCTTCTGTGGAGTTCTCGGACAAAGCCGGGAATCCATCTTCCACAATGTCGAGGACTTTCTAGTAAGTGAATCCCACTTTTATTTGAACTGACCAGCGATGCCACTTCTTGCATCAAGAATTAGGAGATTAGCAGGGAAATTGGTGGTGTTCATCACTATGTCTCACAAAGTATCAAGCTCTTATACCAAATCTGTTAGGACAGTTGGGATTAAAAACAGAATGTTTAACTAATGCACAGTAGAGGGGAATGACCGAACTAACTATTATTCACTCTAATGTATAGTATGTGAACAATATTGCACTTATTAACTACTTTGGCTATAACACATCTTAACATTATAGTTTTGAACTAGTGAATTCATGTCAGGTGCTAGCGGCTTGATTTTGCACCTTCATAAAAAATAGAAAAAAGGAATACCAATGTCGATATGTTGCATACGTATACAAAAGAAAAACATACTAGTCATATTTGTATACTTGTATTAAAGATTCTAAATATATTTTTGGCAAAAGATCATCACCATCATCGCTATGTCAGTGCCGCAAAGGCTCTCATCTACGGTGGGGTAAGAGGTGTCACATGTACACAACCTTACTCTTGTACTAAAGCTAGCACAGAGAGACTGTTTTCAGATGATCCATGGTGAAAATTGTGTCAAAAATTGCATTGATTGATTACTGCTTCATAACAAAGAAGCACAAATAGTTTAGTGAACCATTTTGCTTTATTCCATCATATTCTTAAGCCAAAACATAGTGAATCTTTGGATCCTTTTGACAAAAGATAATTCCATTATTATTAATTAGGGTAACAAGAAACAAAGTCATCATAAAAGAGACTACTCAGGGGTGAGACACAAAGCTGGACAATCACTTATTAGTGCTCTAACTCACTAACCCCTCTACAATGTAGACTCTGTAAACAACATAGTTGGGCCTGCTCCTAAAAGAAGGATAAAAGTAAATAAAATGTCTTGAGATGAAGAAAAACAACTAAGAGAATAATGCATGGTTTTTACAGCCATCAAGAAGAAACTCGTGGTTTGACCAACCCCAGCCAAAGGTACTGGAGTGAACTCCCCGCCACCCCGTCCAACTCCTTCACCATGAACCGTCGTCACTGAACTAGGCATTGCCTTGCTTGAATACCTTATCCCCTAGTCATCTCCAATAACTTTGTGCTTTCTTGGTTCTTCTTCCTGAACACCAACCACTTCCTTATCCGTTAAGATTAACCCTTCAATCATGTAGCTGCCATTTCCATCGAGGTTGTTCTGGTCAGATTGCTCAAGCTATCTGTTCCCTCATGTCTAACACTTATTTTGCTTCCACCGGAGATCATCAACTTATTTCCCGGATGCACACTCCCTCTTCGCATATCTGCGTGCAGCCAAACCCCGTATGGCTTCTCTCAATCCAGGCAATTGGATGTCATTATCACATTATTACGTCACTATCTAATTTCTATTTCTACTGTAAAATATGTCATTATAACCAGTGAAAAAATTCAAATTTTTTTCCGGCAAAAAACTTAAAAATAGAAAAATCCAAACAATATTTTAAAAGAAAAACATATTAATTAAATAAAGATTAATCACATTTTTGGGAAAATGAAAACTAATCATACTTTTATGTCTTCCCAAAGTGTAGAGGTAATATTTTTGCCATTTTTCTTTTTATGTTTAGGCAATTTTGACCAGGTCACTGGCGGAGGGAGGGGGCCTTACTGGGCCCTGGGCCAGGGTATATTGGGCTATTGTTAATTAGGTTGTATAAAAAATAATGAAATAATAGAAACGACCAATGGTAAAAGAAAATCGGCCCAGTGTCGACCTAGAGACTAGAAAGAAAGGTAGAAATGAATCACAACATTTTTTTAAAAAATGACTCTTAGTGAAGCAAATAAACGCGGACCAAATGTTTCAAAATTAACACTTAGGTCTTAGGCCTTAGTCAAGCGACCAATGCTGACAATTGTGTTCCATGAATTAAGGCTAGTTTTATGACCCTAATTTATCAATTATATGAAGTCTATTTTTAATCTATTTTTTCGTAATTTGTAAGAGTTTTTTTATTATTTTTTGTGTCATATATTGTCAATTTGTAACCATAATTAATAATCTCCGTACTAGAAAAGTTCGCCAAATTGACTTTCTTGATCAATGACAATCAATTTGACCAATGATACATTTTAATACGAAATTATCTAGAATATAAAAATTATATCAACATTTTCTTTAATCAAAATATTTTCATAAAAGTATGAAACTTATAAAGGGAAAATCCCATATATGGTTCCTCAGTTATCCACGAAATTAAAATCTCAGACCTGCATTTCTGAGATTGTAAATGTCACCCCTCAATTATCCAAAATGCTGTAAATGTGATTCTTTTGAGGGGTGAAATATACAATGTGGGTGAGAGTACATTTCACCACTTAAAGGACCACACTTACAACAATTTGAACAATTAGAGGGGTGACATTTACAAATTACAATCTCAGAAATACAGGTCCGACATTTTATTTTCATGAATAACAGAGGGACCATATATGTGATTTTCACATTTAGAAAGAGTATACATATGTATATATATCAAAATCATTGTTCAAAGTTTGTCATCATTAATCAAGAAAATTTAATATGTCAAACATTTTCGGGATATGTGATATGTGATTTGTTTATATTTGTTGAATACAAACTTATTCTTGTCTTACTAAATTGTTATTTCATTTAACTTCAATTCAATATGATTTTTATGCAATATTTTGATTTGATAGAAGGGATTATGGGCAATCAACAACCTACGTTTAAAGAAAACTAAAGCAACTTCGGATTCTTTCTGGTCCTCAAAAAAACTTTACATTCTTTTTTAAACAGGCTGCTACCGTTTGTGAATCTGTGATGTTGAAAATTAGTCATCTTCTACTTTGGTAGAGATTG